CGCGCGGCCGCCCACGGACAGAAGAAGAAGGCCCAGGACGACGACGAGCCCGCGGACCGCGGCCGCCGCGCGTCCGCGCAGTCCAAGCGGGCCGGCAAGGCCGTCAAGGCCAAGGACGGCAAGGCGACGCTCACGTCCCAGGACCTCAAGCAGCTGAACCTCCCGGCGTCGGCCGCGCCGCCGGCGAGCGCGAAGGAGGGCTCCGAGAAGGGCTCCGACGCCGGCGACGCGCCCGCGGCCAAGCCCGCGGCCCAGGCGCGGCCCATGCGGTCGCCGCACCACAGCGTCTTCGCCGCGACGCCCGACTCCGCCGCCGCCGGCGACGACGAGGTCCACCTGCGGGACCACAAGCACCCGCTCGCGAAGCCCCTGCCCGAGTCGCAGCGCGAGGCGCGCGAGCGCCGCGAGTCCGCGGCGCTGAGCCCGCGCCGCAAGCGCGCCTGGGACATGGAGTGCATCTGGCGCGAGAAGGACGTCGCGCGCATGCGCCACCTCTCCGAGTACCTCGCCGCCATGCGGACGCCCTACGCCGCGGACCTCGCGAAATCCGGCGACGCCGGCGGCGGCGACGACCGCAAGGGCAAGCGCGCGGCCGAGGCCGAGAAGCGCCGCTGGCGCTAGGGCGCGCGCGGGAGCGCGCGGGACGCGTAGAGCGGGTTCTTAGTTTAGCTTACCGTCCCGCGGAGCCTCCGCGGCCGAGGACTGGTGCCGCGGTGAACGTCCCAAGTCGCACTTCAAGTCGCAATTCAAGTCGCCCGGGCAAGCCGGGCGCCGCGCCGCTCCGGTGCCACGAGCACCGACGCCGTTCGCGCCGCGCTCGCCGCGCCGCGTCGCCGTCGCACCCGCGCTTCCGCGCACGCGCTCGAAGGCGCAGAAGGCAAAACCATCGTTTCTCCGCGCACTCGCAAGGCGGCGGCGGCGTCGCCGTCCAACAGCATGGAGGAGGGCGCGCCCGGGTCGACGGCCGTGCGCATCGCGTCCATCTCCGCGGCCCAGAACAAGCGCGGGAAGAACTGCTTCGAGGGCGGCATGAAGCAGGGGTCCTTCACGTGGTACAAGGACATGGGCGGCAACAGCAACTGGATGTACCTCGCGGTGTCGAACGCGACGAAGGAGCACCTGAGCCTCGCGCTCTGGCTGCTCTACGAGGCGGCGACGGAGCCCCTCGTGGACCCGCTCTGCAGCTCCGGCGAGATCCAGGTCGGCTTCTTCAACCAGAGCAAGAACATGAACCGCCAGGTGCCGCTCTTCGAGCTCGCCGAGGAGAGCAAGCCGATGCTCGAGATGGACCCCGGCGACGCGGCCACCCTGAAAGTGCGCATCAACGACCTGAGCAGCCACCACCAGAACCAGCGCTTCATCCTCGTCGCCGGGCCGGCGGACGCGCCCATCCGCGGCTCGCGGTCCGTGCCCATCGAGATCATGTCGAAGCCGCGCGTCGAGGACAAGGACGGCGACGGGTCCAAGCGCGCGCTCGACGGCGACGCGTCGTCGGACCCGGCGGCGAAGCGGTCCCGCGGCGACGGCGACGGCGGCCACTCGCTGCCCCTCTTCGCGCAGCTCGCGGCCGTGACGGACCCGAGCCCGTCGCCCGAGCGCCAGGCGGAGCTCGCCGTCGCCCTACTCGGCGGGCTCCACCCCAAGGTGCGCGCCGTCGTCGCCGAGAAGCTCGCCCAGTCCCTCGACAAGCAGGCGAAGATGACCCTCTTCGACCAGCTCTCCCACGACCTCAAACACGGCGTTTACGGCGCGGAGGAGCGGCCCAAGCCCAAGGGGCGGCTCAAGTCGCTCGCCAAGGCCATCGTCGAGTTCAAGCGCAACGAGAAGGGCGGGCGCGCGAAGCGCGGCGCCGCCGACGGCCTCGGCGCCGACGGCGACGGCCTCCTCTCCGAGCAGCAGCTCACCGACTTCTTCGTCGACGAGGACAGCGGCATCAACATCTTCGACGCGCTCTCCCCGAAGAACGGCGACGCGGCCAAGAAGTGAAGCGAATGCGCGACCCCCCAGCTCGGGCTCATAAGCGCGTTACCCCCCGCAGGGCCGCGTGGGCCGCCGGATGGACCGGCCCTTGTAGAGGTACGTTTCGCCGCCGTCGAGGTCGCAGATCGTCACGTTGTTGTGCAGGAGCCACACGAGAAAGTCCTTCTCCGTCACGAAGCGCCCGACCTCCTTGTCGCCGCCCTCGGCCATGGCGCCGAAGTCGAAGCGCGCGGTCGACGCGTCGACGTAGGTCATCCCCGACGCGACGGCCGCGTCCAGATTCGCGGCCATCGCGGCCGGGTCCCGCGCGTCGCCCGGCAACACCACGGGAAAGTACAGTACGCCGGCCTTGCTGTAGGACTGCCACGTGCGCTTGCTGAAGGCGTTGGCGTCGAGGGACCGCAGCGTGTCCCGGAGCGCCGGCGCGGAAATCGGCAGGAACCGGTCGCGCGCGTGCGCGCCGCCGCCCGTGAAGACGTTTCCGATGGCGGAGAAGGTGTGGCAGGCGACGGCCATGGCCTTTCGAGACCCGTAGAAGACGTGGTCCGTCGCCGCGTGCACGACGTCGCGCCGCGCGGCCGCGTCCGCGACCGCGTCGGCGCGCGCGGGCCACGGCCGCGGCGTCGCGTCCGAGCGGAGCTTCACGACGACGTCGTACGTGGCGCCGCGTTTCGCTTCCTGGGCCTCCATGAGCGCCCAGCACTTCTCGAGGCGGTACCACTGGATCCACGGCTTCGTGTTCGTGCCCGGGGGAAAGACCGCGCAGTCGCCCGACGGCCGCGCGGCCGCGACGGCGCCGACGCCCGCGAGGGCGCTCCCGAAGTAGGACGTGGCGAGATTCGCCAGCGTCTTCAGGCCGTCGTCGCTGGGGCAGGCGTCGGACGTGACGAAGACGTCGGCCCCGAGCGGGACGACGACGTCGTCGCGCATGGCCGTGAAGTGCAGCGTCGCCATGCGCTCGTCGTAGCCCGGGCGCTTGTCCGCGCCGACGAGCAGCACGGCCACGCCGTCGCCATTCGCGAGCGCGAGTGAGAGCGCCGCGACGAGGGCCGCGAGCGCTGCGCGCATCGTGCTGCCCCGATGGTTCAATGAGTGTTCAATGACTAAGTTGTTGAAGATTCCCTTGCGGCAAATTCTGCGCGATGGGAAGACCGCTCGCGCTTGCGCGCCGTTTGCGGCTGCGCCAACATGCGGCCTTCTCCTCCTCGACGAAATCGGACTACGTCGTCGTCGGCGCCGGGTCCGCCGGCTGCGTCGTCGCGAGCCGCCTGGCGGAAGGCGGCGCGTCGGTGACGCTGCTCGAGGCCGGCGACGCGTCGACGCTGCGCGGGCCCTTGTCCATCCTGACGCGCATGCCGACGGCGCTGAGCATGCCCATGCACTGGGGCCGCTGGAACTGGGCCTACGAGACCGCGCCGTCGCCCGCGCTCGACGGGAAACGCGTGTCCTGCCCGCGCGGCCGGGGCCTCGGCGGGTCGTCGTCCATCAACGGCATGGTCTACGTGCGGGGCCACGCCTTAGACTACGAGGCCTGGGCCGACGCCGGCTGCCGGGGCTGGCGCTGGGTCGACGTCGCGCCCTACTTTAAGAAGATGGAGCACTGGGCCGGCGACGACGCGGACGGCCTCCGGGGCCGCGGCGGCCCGCTCCACGTCACGGACGGCGCCAACGCCCTGGGCACGCCGCTCTACGAGGCCTTCCAGGCCGCGGGCGACGCCGCTGGCTACGGGAGGGTGGCGGATTACAACGGCCGGAGGCAAGAAGGTTTAGCCCCAATGCCGATGACGGTCTTCCACGAGGGCCCCCGCAGGGGCGAGCGCTGCTCGACCTTCGCGGCCTACCTCGAGCCGGCCATGGACGCCCACGACGCGCTCAGCGTCGTCACGGGCGCGCGCGCGGCCCGGGTCGAGTTCGACGGGACGCGCGCCGTCGCCGTCGCGACCACCGACGGCCGGCGCTTCGAGGCGGAGAAGGAGGTCATCCTCTGCGCGGGCGCCATCGCGACGCCCCAGCTCCTGCAAATCTCCGGCGTCGGCCCCGCGGACCTGCTGGAAAGCCTCGGCGTCGACGTGGTCGTCGCGGCGGACGGCGTCGGTTCGAACCTCCAGGACCACCTCGAGTTCTACTTCCAGTTCGCCGTCGCGAGCGGGTCGCTGGCGCCGTACCTCGCGCCCTGGCGCAAGCTCCTCATCGGCCTGCGCTGGCTCCTGCGGCGCGACGGCCTCGGCGCGACGAACCACTTCGAGGCCGGCGGTTTCGTGAGATCCGCGGCGGGCAAGGAGTACCCGGACGTCCAGTTCCACTTCCTGCCCGTGGCCGTGTCCTACGACGGCGTCACGGTGCCCCACACGGCCTCGGGCCACTCCTTCCAGCTCCACGTGGGCTGCAACCGGTCCAAGGCGCGCGGCGCCGTCGCGGCCGCGTCGCCGGACGTGGAAACCGCGCCGGCCGTCGACTTCGCCTACATGAGCCACGACGACGACTGGACGGACTACCGCGCGGCGCTGCGCCTCGCGCGCGAGCTCGTCGGCCACATGGACCTCGAGGGCGTCGAGGAGGTGACGCCGGGCGCGTCGTGCGCGACGGACGAGCAAATCGACGCGTACCTCCGCGAGCACCTCGAGTCGGCCTACCACCCCTGCGGCACCTGCCGCATGGGCGACGACGCCGGCGCCGTCTGCGACGCCGAGGGGCGCGTGGTCGGGGCGGAAGGGCTTCGGGTCGTCGACGCGTCGCTGTTCCCGTCCATCACGAACGGCAACCTCAACGCGCCGACGATCATGGTCGCCGAGAAGCTCAGCGACGCCATCCTCGGCAACGCGCCGCCGCCGCCCGTGGCCCACGCCATGGACCACCCGCGCGGCCACGTCGACCCCAAGTGGGCGACGCGGCAGCGCGAGAAGCCCTTCTACACCGACGCGAACCCGCCCTAATTGCTTAGTCGCGCACGAGGATGCCGCGCCCCTTGAGGTGGGCCTTGACTGCGGCGATGGCGACCTCCCGGCGGTGGAAGATGCCCGCGGCGAGCGCGGCGTCCGCGCGCGCGAGTTCGAACGCCTCCGCGAAGTGCGCGGGCTCGCCGGCGCCGCTCGACGCGATCACGGGCACGGCGACGGAGCGCTTGACGATCTTGAGGAGCTCGAGGTCGTAGCCGTCGCCCTTGCCGTCGCAGTCGATGCAGTTGACCATGAACTCGCCCGCGCCCAGCGCCTCCGCCGCGGCCGCGAGCGCGGCGACGTCGAGGTCGGCGTCCCTGCGCCCGCCGCCCGTCGTCGCGCGGTACCAGCAGCGCGTCTCGCCGTTGGGGCCCCGGAACTTGGCGTGGTCCGCGACGGCGGCCGCCGGGAGGCCCGGGAACGCCGGCGGCGCCTCGCCGGCCGCGAGCCAGACGCGTTTCGGGTCGATGGACACGACGACGGCCTGGCGGCCGTACTGGGTGGCGATGCGCCTGAGCGACGTCTTCGACCCGTCGCCGCCGGCGTAGTAGGCCAGCGCCGCGGCGACGGCGTCGCTGCCGACGCCGACCTTGTCCGCGCCCGCGCGGAAGTAGGCCGACGCGACGTCCAGCGCCGACACGGCGCTCCCGTCCCGCGCCGTGTAGTCGCGGACGCCGCCGCCGATGGTCAGGGGCACGAAGCAGCGCTCGGACGCCGCCCGCAGCACGCCGAGCAGCGGCAGGTCGCCCGCGGCCTCCCCTTTGAACGCGCAGATGTTGAGCACGCAGATCTCGTCGGCGCCCTCGTCGTAGTAGCGCGCGCACAGGTCCACGGGCTTGCCCAGGTTGCGCACGGCGCCGCCCTCGGCCTTCTCCCGCACGTCGTAGCCGTCGCCCTTGGTGACGACCAGATCGCCCGCGTCGTTCGACCGGACGTCGAGCGCGGAGATGACGCGCGGCGCCATGAGGGTCGTCGTCGACGACGGCAGGGGCGCGCCTAAACTCGGCAACGCCGTCGCGCCGCGGCTCCGCGTGACGAAGCGGTCCAGCAGCGCGAGACCCTTGGGCCCGGACTTCTCGGGGTGGAACTGGCACGCGACGCGGCGCCCGTTCGCCAGCGCCGACGTGTAGCGGACGCCGCCGTAGTCCGTGACCGTCGCGCGCCAGGCCGGGTCGCAGCGGCTCACCTTGTAGGAGTGGACGAAGTAGTAGCGCTCGCGCGGCTCGAAGAGGCCCGCCGCGGGGTCGAGCCCGAGCGCCTCGTTCCAGCCCATCGACGGCACGACGGCGCCGTCCGACGGTTCGAAGAGCGTCACGTCGCCGTCGACGACGCCCAAACCCCGGGCGCCGGGCGTCTCCTCGGAAGCGCCGAAGAGGAGCTGCATGCCGAGGCAGATGCCGAGGAACGGACGGTCCGCGTCGCCGAGGTACGCGCGGAGCGCGTCCGCGACGTCCAGCGCCTCGAGCGCGTCCATGGCCGCGCCGAAGCACCCGACGCCGGGGAAGACGAGGATCTCCGCGCCGAGCACGTCCGCGGCCGTGCGCACGAGGGACACGTCGCAGCCCAGGAGCTCCAAGGCGTTGACAACGCTGCGCACGTTGCCCGCGCCGTAGTCGAGGAGCGTGACGCGCGGCTTCATCGCCGCCATTTTTGGAAGTGTGCGCTGCGCGCGTGTGCGGCGCGCTGGTGTGCAATGCGGAGAGCAGCTAGCTCTACGTCGAGGCCAAGGAGAGGCTGAGAGCGCTTCAACATCGCCTCGCGCTAAAAACCGAGCTCTCCCAGCCGCATGGACGCCGACAAGGAGCCCCTCCCGGCGCTCCCGGGCTGCCCCGCGGGCGGGAGCCCGGCGGCGGTCCTCCCCGAGGCGCCCCCGGCGGCGTCGCAGCCCCCGGAGGGCGAGGAGAAGGCGCCGGCCGAGGCGGAGGCGTCCCTCGAGGACGACGGCCCGAGGCAGTGCCGCATCTGCTTCGACTCCGACGAGCCCGAGACGCTCGTGCGCGCCTGCCTGTGCAACGCCTGGGTCCACCTCGACTGCCTCAACCAGTGGCGCCAGGGCCGCTACCCGAAGGCGCGCCGCGAGTGCAACGTCTGCAGGGCGCGGTGGACGACCGCGGCGCCGCGGCGCGAGATGTTCGCGCGGCGCGTGCGGACCGCGCCGCGCTACCGCCCCGCGGCCGAGGCGGACCTCGACGAGCCGGCCCTGCGGTCGAAGATGCGCGTGGGCTGCCTCATCTCCCAGTCGGCCGCGCGCGCGGACGTCGAGGCGCTCGTGCTCCGCGAGGGCGAGGGCAGCAAAAGAGAGCGAAATTCCCAACTTCAAAGGCTCCTTTCTCGGCCGTTTTTCACTCGTTTTGGCTGATTTTTGGACGAGCGATCGTCTCTCGGAACGGTCTCGAAGCGTGGATGCTTTTTCCGGAACGCGCGCGCGCGGAACTCTCACGTTGAAGCGACGTTGAATCTCTCTTTTGCTGCCCAGGCGAGGGCGAGGGCGACGACGAGCGCGCGGCGCAGCGCGAGCGCGCCGAGGCCGAGGCCGAGGCCGCGGCCGCCGCTCGGCCCGCCCCGCGCCCGTCGCTCGTGTCGCGGCTCCGGGCCATGCTGTCGCCGCCGCGCGCGTCCGCGCCGCCGGCGCCGACGCGGCCGCGCGAGGCGCCGCCGCGCGTCGGCACGATGGCGTCGCTCATGGCCGCGGTCCTGCGCGCGCGGGCCCAGCGCCACTGGCACAAGGGCTGCTTCGTCGTCCTCTTCGTCGGCGACGGGTCGGGCTCCGACGGCAGCGACGCGATCGTCGCCGCGAACCTCACGCGCGAGGTCCGCGTCCTCGGCGACGACCAGGGCAGGACAAGGGTGATTCAACGTCGCTTCAACGTGAGTGTTCCGCGCGCGCACGTTCCGGAAAAAGCATCCACGCGTCGAGAGCGCTCCGAGAGATGATCGCTCGTCCAAAAATCAGCCGAAACGAGTGGAAAACGGCCGAGCTAGGAGCCTTTGAAGTTGGGAATTTCGGTCTCTTGTCCTGCCCAGGCGACGACGGCGAGGCCGACGAGGACGACGGGCGGCGGCGGCGCCTGAGCTGGCTCCGGTCCCTGCGCGACGGCGCCGCGGCCGCGCCGCCGGCGCCGGCCGCGGCCGCGCCGGCGCCCGCGGCCGCGGCGCCGGACGCCGCGGCGCCGGACGCCGCGGCCGAGTCCGAGTCCGAGTCGGACGACGACTCCGACGACTCCGACGGCGACGCGTCCGGCCGCGAGCCCGCGGCGCTGCGCCGCGCGCGCGCGGGCGTCGAAAAGCTCCGGCGCCGCGGCGTCAAGACGACGCTCTTCAGCGGCGGGCCCGTCTACCGCAACGAGCCCCTGGGCCTGCTCATGCTCTGGCGGCCCGAGGGCTCCGACGACGCCGGGCCCGACGACGCCGCGCTGCGCGCGGCCGTCGGCGACGTCGTGCCCTGGCGGCCCGACGCGACGGAGGCCGGCGGGCCGAGCCGCGCCTTCGTCGGCGCCGTGCCCCTCCTGCGCAAGGTCTGGGACCTGCACGGGCCGACGTGGCGCGCGGAGGCGCTCGCGTGGAGCGGCGTCGCCGTGTGGAGCGCGGACCAGCTCCTGGCCGAGGTGAGCCGCGGCTCCTGGGTCCTGTCGTCGGCGACGTGGCGGGACCTCTCCGACGACGCGGCGCACGACGGGCCCCACGCGCTCTGGAGCGCCGTCGTCGCGAGGGACGGCGCGGTCTCCGCGGCCGCCGCGGACGCCGCCGCGGCGACGACGAACGCGATCCTAAGCTGAGGGTGCTTAGCTCTTAGCCCCAGCGCGCGAGGAACGACGCGACGACGCCCGCGATCTCCTCCGGGACCGCCGTCTCGACGCACTTGCGCACGACGACCGCGCGGCGCGCCGCGAGGATCCGCGCGGCCGTGGCCCGCGCCGCGGCGCCGGCCATCCAACGCTGGCGCGCGACATCGACGAAGCCGCCCAGCGCGAGCTGCACGAGCGCGCCGCTGGCCTCCGCCATCGCGACGTACGCGTCCTCGTTGCTCAGCGCGAGGATGGAGAGCGCCGTCGCCGCCGCCGTGTTGGCGTAGCGGCCGCCGCCGTTCGCGACGTCCACCAGAGGAGCGATGCCGATCGCCACGATCGCAGCGTTGCCGGCCTCGTCGTACGCGAGGTTCCGGAGAGCGCGCGCGGCGAACTCCTTCGTGCGGTAGCCGCCGCTCCGGAGGAGCGCCACGAGCGGCGCGACGCCTCCGGCTCGCAGCAGCGCGGGCGGACCGGACTTGTCGGTCGCGAGGTACGACAGCGCCCGCGCGGCCTGGTCCTTGGCGTCTTCGCTCCCGCTCTCGAGCAGCGCGACGAGCAGCGGCACGGCGCCGGCCTTCACGGTAAAGGAACGGTAGCCACAGGCCGCGAAGTCCGCCAGCTCCGACGCCGCGCGCACCAGCGAGCGGCCGTCGCCGCCGCCGCGCTGCAGCGTGCGCACATGGGCGATGACGCCCTCGGCCTGGCGAGTCAGCTTCTGTCCATGCTTGGGCATCAGACGCGATGTCGCGAAGAGACTAGCCATCCCAGACCCGAGTCACGAGCGCGGGCTGCTAGGTCAATATGACATGCAACATCGGAGGGTGCGCGGGGGTGGTTTCGCGCAGCGGCCGGTGGTGGGGCTCGCCGCGTCGGCTCCGGGGGGCGCTCGGGGAGGAGCACCCCGCTGCGCGCGTCGATTGGGCGGCGGGGCGCCGAGCGCGAGAGCTTGCAGTGCTTGGCCGTCGGCGCGACGTCGCCCACGGGCCCGGGGGGCTGCCGCGCGCGCTCGCTTCGTTCGGATGCCTTCGGCGTGAGTCTTGGGGGGAGCTGGTGGGGTCGGCGCCCTTGATGGCTTCGGTGTGCGGGCTTCGATGTGCCCGTGTCCATTCGTTTCTCTGCATTCTGCAGCGTCTCTTCGTAGCGTGGCGCTGTGTGCGGCTCCGTCGACGTCGGCGTCTTCGCTCTCTTCGTCGGCGTCTTTGCTCTCTTCGGTCCCGCTGACTACGGGTGTCCTCTTCGGCGGTGCCCTCGGCTAGCCACTTGTGGTCCTGAGGTTGAATCGGCCTAGTCGAGCCGGACGTCCTGCCCGTCGGGTGCGGGTGCCTTCGTTCTCAACCTCCCCCGGTCCACGGAGAGTCCGTTGAGTGTCGTCTGAATGAGGCGACTCAGGATGCTACTGCCTTGCGCCAGTCCCGGCGTGCTCTCGGCGTGGCGGTGGTACCAGGCGTGGCGCGAGTGTACCGCCGCCTCCGTCCCGAGTGCGCGCACGATCTTCAGGGTGGAGGAGGGGGCCGGTGTGGTTCGCCAGATCCCCGGCTAGGCCTCCGCCCGCGCCTTCCCCGGCGGGATCTTCGGGTGTGCTCCCCCTTCAATAACTTGGTCAACATCGTCGATGTTGACCTTTCAATAATAAGCGTGAGGCATTATGGCGCTCGCGTGGCCGACCTCGTCGAGCCCAGCGCTGCGCGCGACTGCATCGACGCTGCTGCTGCGTGCGCTGCTCGCTAGCGTTCTGTGCTGCGACGCCTTGACGCCATCCAGCGTCCTCGCCGAGTGGCGCAGCTCGCGCGTTTCCTCTTTAAACCTCGACGCGTCGCGCTTTCATTTCCAAGTGCTCTTCGTCGACGACGACAACCAGCGCGCGCGGATAGCCGAGTGTTTGACGGAGCAGCTCGCCGCCTGGGGCGACGCCGGCTGGTGGATCTATCCGCACGCGGCGACGATCAACGCGACGGCGCTCGAGGCCGGCGTCGACGCGCGCCTCGCGGCCGTGCTGACGTCGTGCGGCTTCGACGCGGCGCGCGCCAACGCCGAAGGCGCGGCGCTCGACGCGTCGGACCTGAGCGCCTACGACTTAATTGTCTGCGCCGACGGCGCGACGCGGGCCGCCGTGCTCGAGCTCGCCGAAGGCCTGCGAGCAGTCGGTCCGCGAACTCGGCGACTTCGCGACTGTTGCTGCTGACGATTCGCGAGTGCTCCTGTTGGGCCTCGACGACGAGGCCCTCGGCGCGCGTTCCCGCGAGCGCCTCGCGCGCGACGAGGTCTCGCGCTACGCCGCCGCGGACGCGGGCCGGGACCGCGAGGCCTTCGACGCGCTCCTGGAGACGACGGCCGTGTGTTCCGCGTCGCTCGTGCGCTACCTCATGGGCACCTTCGACGCGGCCTTCGTCGAGAAGTTCAACGAGCTCCTCCGGGCCCACTTCTACGACGCGCGGCACGTCGGCGTCGAGTGGCGCGAGGCCGACGAGGTCCTCCGGAGGCACGTCGTCACGGGCGCGCTCGACCCCCGCGAGCGCGAGCGCCTCTTCGAGGCCCACATGGCGCAGCTGCGGCGGGATGTGCCCGCGTCGTCATAGTTATGCCGCGGCGTCGGGGTCCTTCATCTTCCGCTGCGCTTGAGGCGCCGCCGGACGACGTCCGCGAGGCCCTCGCCGCAGAGGCGGTAGCCGTCGGGCGAGAAGTGGAGGCCGTCGGGCGCCCAGCGCTCGTCGCCGGGGTTCCACGCGGCGATGGGGTGGTCGGCGTAGGCCGCGAAGACGCCGCGGTCCGCGCACCACGCCCGCAGCTCGCGGTTGACGGCCGCGGCTCGCTCCGCGGCCTCGGGCGCCGTGGCCTGCCACTGCGACGGCGGGATGCCGACGCAGACCGTCGGCACGCCGAGGCCGTGCGCGAGCTCGTGGAGGCCGACGACGGAGCTCGCGATCGTCGCCGCGTCGGGCTCGTAGCTCAGGTCGTTCGTGCCCGCGAGGATGACGCAGAGCGCCGGCTCCGCGCGCTTCAGCAGCGCGCGGAGGCCCCGCTGCTCGTCGTCGAGCACGTCGAGCATGCCCGCGGCCGTCGCGCCGGGCAGGCCGCGATGGCGGACGAGGACGGACGATCCTAATGCGGCCTCGAGTACCGGCGCGTAGGGGTAGTCCTGGTCCAGCGGCGGGCTCGTGCCGGCGGTGAGGCTGTCGCCGTAGCAGAGGACGCGTTGCGGCGCGGCGCTGAGCGCTGCGGCGGACATCGATGCGACGTAGCACAGCTGCGCGCGAAGCATGCGTCTCGTCTCGACGGCGGCGGCGCTCTCGATGGCGCCGCAGAGCTCTGTGCAACGTCGACGTCAACGAGACCTTCAACGAGCCGCATTTGATCCTACACGGCCTTACTGAACATGAAGCCCGCGCGCTTGCGGTCCTTGGAGTTCTGGCCCTTGATCTTCTTCTCGACGCGGGCGAGGCGCGCGGCCGCGTCCCTGTTCTTCGGGTCGTCCTCGAGGCACTTCTTGAACTCGAGCGCGGCGAGGTCCCACTGGTCGTGGAAGTGCTCGTAGGCGATGCCCAGCCGGTAGTGGGCCTTGGCGTTGTGGTCCTCGTGCTCGAGGATCTCCAAACAAATATCCTTGCACTTCTTCCACTCGCCCAGTTTCACGTGGCACGCGGCCATGTTCGCCTTCACGGAGCACTCGAGGCGCCGCGCGCGCCGCTTGGGCCCGTCCGCGGCGTGGATCGTGATCTTCTCCTCGGCCTCGTCGCCCTCCTTCGTGCGCTCGTGGTCGAAGGACAGGAGGATGACGCCCGTCGCGTGCGTCGCGCGCTTGTAGTGCTGGAACGCGCGCGGCACGTCGCCGCGCTTGAACTGCTCGTTGCCCGCGGCCTTGCGCGCCTCGGCCATGCCGAGCAGCTCCTCGGCGTCCTCGCTGTCCCAGGGCGTGCGCTCCGTCGTGAAGTCGACGAGCTCGAGGCGGAGGATCAATCTTTGGCCCTTGACGGCGTCGGCCACGGCGTCGAGCGTCTGGTAGCCGAAGTCCGCGCGCACGGTCACCTCGGCGACCTCGTCGGCGCGCATGGTCATGACCGCCTCCTCGAGGCCGAAGCACACGGGGACGGGCCGCGCGACCGCCGCGTCCGCGGCCGCCGCCGTCGTCGGCGCGGGCTTGAAGACCGTCTGCAGGTCCTCGCGGATCTTCCACTCGGCGACGTCGTCGTTCTCCGGCCGCAGCGTGACGCCGTCGACGCGGCAGCCGAGCACGTAGAGCGGCGGCCCCGACGCGTCGGACTCGAGCCAGACGCCGCCGCGGACGCGGACCGTGTCGAAGTCCTCGGGGCTCGCGGCCTTCATGTCGTGGTTCGGCTTGAGGATGCGCTTCACGACGGCGCCCTCGTCGGGCACGTTCGTCTGCTTGTTCTTGACGCACTCGATGTTCTCGATGTAGCCGTGGACCGTGACCCGGTAGACGACCTCGCTGTCCGGGGGCACGCCGTGCGCCTTCGAGCCCGTCGCGCCGAAGGCCTTCTCCGGCGCGAGCGTGATCGTCGCGTGCTGGCCGACGGGCATCTGCTCCAGGGCGTAGCGCAGGCCCCGCGGCGCGTCCTCGCGGTCGCTCGCCTTCCAGACGCGCCGCGTGCCGTAGCCCGTCCGCTTCTGGTCGACGGCCGCGGCCGCGGCGGCCGCGGGCGGCAGCTCGAAGGTCTTGTTCTGGATCGCCCGGCCGCGCCGGTCCCACCACTCGTGGCCGTTGCGCCGCGGCGTCGCCGTCGACGGCGGCTCCCGCGCCGGCGGCGGACGCGGCGGCGGCGACTCCTCCTCGTCGCTCACGGGGTCGCCGTCGCAGCCGTCGAGCAGGTCCGAGAACAGGTCCGCCTCGTCGCCTAGAGGAGTTCGTGGTTGGCGGTCGTCCCGGTCTCTCTACGCGACCGCTCTCCGCGCGCGCGCGAGAAAAACTCCCGCTCTCGACGCCGGCCTTTCGCCCCAGTCGACGTCGTCGGCGTCGACGTCCTCCTCCTCCTCCTCGACGACGCCGGGCACCTCGTCCTCCGTGAGGCGGCCCGCGTGGAGCCGGTCGCTCTTCGACGCGCCGGGCACCTCGAGGTCGTAGGAGTAGTCGATGTCGCAGCGCTTGTTCGGGTAGTGGTCGTGCTTCGCGCGCCGCGTCACGGACTTGCGGACCGTGCCGTCCTTCTCCTCCGTGATGTCGTCGTTCTTCGTGTAGGACACGAGCTCGATGTCGTAGACGAGCGTCGCGTGCGCGGGGATCACCGTCGACTTGTCCTTGGACGTGAAGCCCTTGGGGCCGTAGGCGCGCTCCGATTCGATGTGGAAGCGCGCGACCTCGCCCTTTTGCCTACATACAGTTCCGTTTCGAGCGCGGATGCGGCGTGCTCTGCTCACATGGTCGCGACGGCGTGGCTCCAGCCCTCGATGACCTTGTCGTTGCCGTAGAGCGTGAAGGGGTGGGGCAGCCCCCGGTCCCGCGTGCTGTCGATCTCGCGGCCGTTGGGCAGCTCGCAGTTGTAGTGGATGCGGCAGTAGTCGCCCTTCTGCGGCTTGCGCTTCGACTTGGTGCCCGCGTAGAGGAGCTGCTTCTTGATGCTGCCGTCGCCCAGCACGTCCTCGCGCGCGTCCTTCTCCGGCTTGCCGCTCCGCGTCGCCGGCAACTCGTGCGGCGACAGGTCCGTCGTGTCCGACGTGAGGATGCGGGCCATTGCGTCGTGGGCTGCGTCCTCACGACTCGCTTTCCACCATAGACGACTTTGCGGGCTGGGGGGCAAAGGTCGCGGCACGGACGGCCTCCGCGGCCGAGTCGGCCGACCCCCGGCCACGACGACAGCGAAGGCACTCACGTCTGTGCTGAGTGACTGCAAGTGCGCCGCGATGGCCCGCTCGCTCCTCCTCCTGGCCCTCTGCGGCCTCGGGGCGTCGTTCACGACGTCCCGGAACGCCCTTAGCGTCGCGCCGGTCCGACAAACTGCGTCCGCGGCGCCGGAGATGAAGTTCCGCGTCTGCGATATGACGGGCAAACGCCGCAACGCGAAAGCGATGACCGTGACGTTCTCCCACACGCGCAACCACAAGGTGGGTCTCGTGACATCCCATCGCGCGCCGGACGGCCGTCGACGTCGTCCCCGCCTCGAACGGGGCGCGGGAAACGGTCGGTCGCGCCCGTTCGGCGACGCTCTCCGCCCCGCCGCCGCGCTCCGCCCCCGGCGGCGGCGCGCGCCCCCTCGCCCCCGCCGCCCCACCCGCTCGCCCGGCGACGCCGCGCGCTCACCCCGTCGCCGCTCTCTAGGTCCAGAAGGTGAACCTCCAGGATCGCCGCCTCTGGTGGTCCGAGGGCAACAAATTCGTCCAGATGCGCGTGTCGACGAAGGCGCTGAAGACGATCGCGAAGTACGGCCTCGGCAAGACGGCCAAGAAGTACGACGTCGACCTCAACGAGTTCGCGCGGA